ACGCTGATATTGCATTTTCTTGGCACTCTCTCATTGTAGTTTCATTTGAGTGCAATCTGGTCTACTTCTTTCTTTACTTTGCTTCATCCTTTCTTTTCCTTGATCCATACTGCAAACAATCTAACCCATGCTGAAACTCAAAACTAAAATAAACCAGAATTTGCACTCAATAGTCAATTTGTTTACAAACATGGAAATGGGATCGCATAGCAAACTAACAAGTAACAAGAGGGGACTGGGATCCTCTTAAGAAGTAAGAGTTAAGAGGAAACAAACAGGCCCACACTTTAGCCTAGATCAACTCCTAGGTAGAAGTCACATATCCTAGATTTGCCCTTGACACATGAATATCATTCTCAAAAGATTTGACCCATGACCCGACAAGGATTTTGGTTTTGTATCAGGTTCGAGTTTGAATAAAACTGATCCAAACATTACCAACTAAGATATTTACCACTGTTAATTACTCAATTTTTATGTTTAAAAGAACTGATACTTAACCATCACCGTGTCTAGAAAACACAGGCTTCGGTTCCACCAAATGGGCTTAAATTATAACCAAGTTTTAGGAATTGGACTTATATGTTATACACCCGACTGTTTGCCAAATCCTTTAAAATGCCTTTACATTCTAACAATTGACTAATTGTATCAATACTGTCACATTCCATTGGCACGTGATTGTTGTAACTTTTTAAAACCCAATTTTCTCCTTAACACTGTTCACATTCCATTGTTGTTAGATTTGACAAGGGTCACCAATTTTCAAGAACCTACATAACATAATTAGGGGTGCAAATGGATCAGATCATGATCCGATTCGATCCTATTTGATTGAATTTGGTTCACCTCTGTTCAGATCTTTACATCGGATAATACAATCCGACCAGAAAGTGGATCAAATTAGGATCAACCCAATTACAAAGGGTTAGCAAATGGAGAAGATATGAGAAGATGATGAGGATGAAAACAGACCTTCGTAGAAGATGAGGATGAGAACTCCAATTTCCACAGACGAACCTGTGCTCCTTGTCTGCTAAGCACCTAAAACACATGGAAGGAAAAACGTTCTTGATAAAAAAAAATGCAAAAATAAAACATGGATGATGTGTGAAATGGAATCCTGTCTCCTTGTCGTCTGAGAAGACGAAGACAAGGTTACCTTCGCTAGAGAAGACAAAGACAATATCCTATCTCCTTGTCGTCTGAGATCTAAGATCAAAGTTGATGGAGGAAGAGAAGGGTATTTTTGGTATAACAAAACACCAAATAGCATGAAAGCCTGAAAGGGGATGTGAGTATTTACCAGAGGCCGTAAACCTCACTGGAGATGAAAGATAAAGTGGTTGGAGTTCGGACCGTTGCAGAGGTGGGAGATGAGAACAGTCCACCCTCAACAAAATTTTCTCACTCGTCATGCAACTTTTGTGTCTCACTGGGGTTGCACCTATTTGGTGAGACCCCACGTCCCTTATTTTGAAAATACTAATCCCATCTCATCGCATCATATCTCTCGAAACGAACATGAAAAAATAGAAATATTCGGCAAATATTCCTATTTTCTTATCCATATTGTGCGAACTAAACGGACAACAAGGGAAATGATCTATATTTTTCCTTTTATATGTTCTAACCTCACCTCTAATCTTGCCTCCTTCACCCTCGCTTTCCCCCTCCTTCAATCCCTAATTCTTTCTCCCCTCCATTCTCCTCTGTTGAACCTCTATCCCCTTTTCCTCCTATGCTCCCCAACAGCTCTTCTACATCCCTCGTTTCCTTTGCCCCTTCAACCCCGTCCATCTCATGTCCTTGTCTGCTCTCCCCCTTTTCTGTGACTCTACTTTCAATACTTCTCGACAAAGGCAAAATAATCTCCCCACTCTATTTGTTATTACTACCATATGTTTTAAGGGTTCAGTTTAATACATGTGTTGGACATAATTGGTAACCTAATTTCACATGTTCATATTTGTAGGTTTATATGGAGTGAACCCATCTATAAATCCTTATCCACGAGTACAAAATGTTCATATTGCCTGGAGTGGAACCATCTATAATTTCACATGTTCATATTGCCTGGAATTTGTAATAGCTTGGAAGCTGCTTTACACTGTGTACATAATCAAATCAATGGTTGTGCATTTTGGTTGGTCCATCATCATTTGGTAAAATTTCAATTGTTAGGTTACTTCCAGCTAACTGGAAATGTGCTTAATGAATTAAATCTTTCATCTGCAACTGATATTTCTGAATTGCTTGGGTGTTTTGAGCAACACAACGCTTTTCGCAATTTCCGTTGTGTTATTGCACAAATCGAGCAATACATTGGTGAATACTGCAATGTTTATTTTGGAATCATCAAAGGAGGCATTTATAATTGAGCATGAAGATTTAATATCCAAGTGGCTAGATTTATCGTCCAACTTTCAGAATAAATGGGTATCTTTCTTCAAGTTCCACTTCTGCGTATGCAGATGTTTCTAATGGTTCCTCATTTTTCTGGATTCGTCGATCCACTTCATTGAACAGCTGAAGCTGGATTTGGAAAAATATCAGGTACCCGTATATTGGACACACAAGGACCTGAGTAAGACTATGAAGAATATCCTAAACCTGCAAGAGTGTTGCAATAAACAGCCATTTCTACTCAAAATGAACTTATCTTTTCTCTCTCCCATTAACTCTTTTAATAATATCTGTTCATTAATTATGCCATTAACTCTCTCCTTCCATAACTCATGTCACTACTTCTCTCTCATCTCAGTTACTCTATTAAATTGCATAAAATACGTTAACTTTATTTATATATCCATCTCACTTTCACTATATTTTTATATATATTAGATATATTTGCATGGAACTATAATTATTATTAAAGATCAATTATATTGAAATTGGGATATTCCATGATATATAATTGCACTAAATAATCTACTTCCATTTAAAATTATAATCCATTTATATTCCATTTGAAAAAAAAATAAAAATTAATTAACCATAATAAAAATATTACGGTAAGTTACTTAAATAAAACAAAAATAATTAATTGTATTGATAAAAATATTTTTATTAATATAATAAAAAGAATTTAATTAATAAAAGGAATAAGATAAATTTAAAACTAAGATGTTATTATCAAACAATTATTAGTTTTATAATTAAATTCAATTTAGAACCAACTTAAGTTCTACTGAAAAATAAAAAATTATATAGTTAATTAAATTTCCTAAGGAATTTAAATTTAACAAAAACTTAATATACTTAAATAAATTCAATTTTTACTAATTTAAAGAATTAATTTTAAATATAGTTTGGTTATTTTAAAATCAATTTAAATTCAATTAAAAAAAGGAAAATTATTAAAAAAAAAACTCATTGGGTTTTCTAAAAAACTTATGAAACTCCCCACTTTTTTGACCTCAACAAAAACCTTCACTATTGTTTTGAAGAAAAGGTGCAAATATCTTCCTTTTGTCAGCATTCCAAATAAAAAAAAATTTGATGTAATGCATGAATTTTACTTCACATCAGCCTTTTTACCTTTGTCCAAGAAGAGTAAGGAGAATTATTCCTTGAAAGTTGTCTAGTAAAATAAACTAGTGGAAGGTAAAGTTGAAACTCTAATTATGTATGATAATGCACTAACAAGGATAATAGTATTTTGATAACTTCAATGCCTTTGTTGCCGAAAAGCCTAGGGAAATGAGGTATTTGCACTTTTTTCTCAAAACTATAGAGGAGGTTTTTGTTAGGATTAAAACACAAAGGTGGTTTATAAAATTATTATAAGAGGATATTTTTTTTTATAATTTTACCTAATAATAGTATAAAAATAATAACAAACCAATAAAATTAGCATTAAGATATAAAAAAATACAAAATTATCTAGAGAATAGGAAATTGTCACTCTCATTAAAACGGAACTTATAATGTGATTGGATAAACCAAGCAGAACCCCCAAAAATAATACTTTAATTGAACTTAGATAGATACTACTTAATTAAAAATGTGATAGAGCTTCATCTTCAACTTTTCAATAAAGTCCATGCGTCGTATGTGTCCTAACTAGTCTTCACTTTATTTTTTGTAGCCGTAACTGCAATTTTCTCTCCCAAAGAGAAAAAGAGGGGAAATGAAAAAAGTGAGGAGAGAGAAAAGGAAATATATTTCTAATAAACAGTAAAGTTTTTGGAGGAGATTTTCGGTACACGTGTTCCATAGTAGTAAAATAATGGGACAACCATCGGTCCGTCCGTTATCTGACCCATTGGCGCTCCTATTTCATGCCAATTGCCAAGTTCACTGCATTGGATGTAACCTACTGGTGCTCTTATTTCATGTCAGCTGCCAAGTTCGCTTTATTGGATGTCGAATGATCCTAATAGTAGCTAAAAGTTTTATGTTAAACTCTGCATAATACATCGGAACCGTGTAATGGGAACATCGTACGGGAGATGTTCCCATAGATGTGCAATGTAGGACTGATGTGATCACCCATAGCTAAAAATTTGAGGACTGATGAGGGTTGGGTTAGGATTGTTGGGCCTGCGTTGAAGCCAATAATAATAACAAAGCAGAAGAGGAGGTGATCAATCAGAATTCCAAATGGAATGTGGAATGGAGGCCAGGACGACAGCTAGCTTAGTGCAAAAAACTATGAAGCCTCCATCTTTGACACTATTGTCATTGCAATTAGCAAGGCATGTTGGATATGTGACGGACCATTCAGAACCAAATGGTGCAATCTCGTTTTGAGTTTCTTTTTACAAATGTTCAGGAAAGGATCAAAGGACTAGGCGACTAGCCTTCTACTTAATCTTATTAAAAATTGGCATTGCTATATAGTCGGAGTTAGTAGTTGGTGCACATGAACGAAGAGGGAGATTCGTGCTTAAACGGGAGGCCGGGAGGGGCGCGGGGGAAATAAGAGAAAAATGGAAGAAACGCAAAGCCTAACTGGACATTTTATAATTTATTGTATGGTGAGGTGAGCTCTGAGCTGCCCAAAAAAAAAAACTTTATTATTTTATTATTATTATTATTTCTACACAGAGACACAGAGTAGACTCTAATTCTTCATACATACATCGTGTGATCCTGCATTGCTCATGATGCTTTCGATATTCATCTTTCTTTAAGCCTGTTCTGCAGAAAATAATGAAAATGGTACGGAAGAGAGATGAGAACAAAAGATTAAGAACAGATGGTGCAGTGCAGATTTATCTAGCAAAAGGATTATAATAGTAAATTCCTGATTGGATTAAAAGTTTGTGCATATTACACACAATTAGCAGTTTTAGCAACAGGAATTACCTCTGCTGCTGCTAGAAAAATCCGGCCAAGTGTACTCTGCCATATCCATTTCACCTGTCAACTCTGAGGATGTTATTTTGTATGTGTCCTCTAGTAACCGATTCTCTCTTGGGGTCAATCCTCCAATGCCCATCAACGATGAATTTTATCTGCTAGTGACTAAAATTCAGTGGTCATGCATAGAGGGGCTTAACCCTGGTCTATATGCACATTTTTCATTAAAAAAAAATGAAACCTCCCATCGGGTCTACCCATTACTCGCCTTTTTTGCAGTTTGGGGTCAAGTTATTCCACCCTTCAGATAACATGCCCGTCAGTTTTTATGACTAAAAGTATTAACTTGACATTCTAAACTTATTACAAGTCTATTCTACGCTTTACTAGCACCCTTTTTTTTTTATCAGCAACAGGAAAATAACTAGCACCTTCTTGTATGTTTTATATATACAAAGCAAAACTGATGTTTTATTTTATTGTTAAGGACATTTTGGTAAAATAACTATTCTGTTTTAACTCTTTCCTCCAACAAGCCCCTTGTAGTTTCATGGTCAAGTTACTAGGTAGACTTGATGACGAGTGGTAACAAGTATTTTGACAGAAACCCTAAGAAAGGTATACAACTGTACATAATTACCCTAAAAATTTTGCCACAACAGTAATATGCTGATATTACTGCTGAAGGTGGGATTTGATCCCAAGTCTCCGCTACAACCAGCCGGAGCCTTACCAGCAAGCTAGGCACCTTCAGCGACTTTTTTGAATTTTGAGGTGGCAGAAATACACCTTAATAATAAGACAGGAAGTGGTTCATCAAATATGAAGTGGTACAAATAACTATGCCAAGATGTAAGTATTATAAAACTCCCCTCAATAAAGAAAAAGAAAAAAAGATAATTACAAAATAAACAGAAAAGAAAACTATAGACAGCAAATTTCCTACAACTCGTTTACTCAAAGTATGTGATTTAGTAATTATTTTCACTCAGATATGAATTTAATCAATTACCAAAGCATATCGGCTATGTAAATGTTCATACCTCATAAAGCCCAGGATAAAGCCATAACACTGTTGACCATAGTCTGGTATTCCTGAAAGTGTTGTGTTATCAGAAGGAATCCACAATTTTTGAATAGTGGAAAAAGGGAAAAAAAAAGCTGTTGAAACTATTTTCTTTTTGAGGCAAGGAGCAAAGGACTTGGGAGGAACAATCAGTTCATTTCATTCAAGGCATGAAAAGAGGTTTTAGGAGGAACATCATCATCTAAGCCTTGTCCCAAGTCCCAACTATATGGGTTGGCTACAGGAATCCGGTTTCTCCATTCCTTTCTGTTTAGTGTCATACCCATTTGTAAATTAGAAGCACTTGGAAGTATTTATTCTTTGCAGCATTTATTCTCCATTCAGCTTGTATTCTTCATACGTCATGGGAAGAGATAAGTGAGGGATGATGCTCAACTCAATTCAACAAAGCATCCCAACTTTCAAACCATATGGTAACAATTACATTAATCTGTTTCACCATTATGGGTGAAGTATGACGTAAGGCTTTGTTTTATGAGTAAGGATGATATAAGGCATGTAACTGCAGCTTTTCTCCTAGTGTTCTATGGAAGTGTAGCAGAGAGATGAGAAGCATTGGCCCGATGATGATAAGTCTTCATAGGTAAATTTTGACTTCAGAAAGCTAAAAAGAAATTTCTGGACCCAAATACCATCCCATTACCAGGGAGACTCCTGATGTTAACCAGAAGGCTTATTGCCTTAACTATTTGCTGCAATTAGAGAGAAAAAAATCCCAATGACATGGTGACTCTACAAGGGCTAAACTACTAGAAGTTTTGTAGGAGTCGGGGGAAACCCTAAGCTACACATGTTATGGTGGAAGGGGACCCAATTGTAGCGGTGAGCTACTTCAAAGACACTACACTTTATTGGAGATCTAAATGCATAATGAAGGAGATCAAATCTTCAACTGGATTCAAAGATCAGCCAACAATATGGCTGGTGCATGGCAAGATCGGGGGAGTACAAATCAATTATTTTATGGATTGCCTCCTAGGGGGAGATAATTGTAATACAAATGGGGTTTGGTAGCAAGGGCTAGCCTATCCAAAAAGAAAATCTTAAAAAAACAAAAAGAAAAATCACAGGATTTGAGATAAAAGATCTTTTGATGCCTAGAAGTGCAAATGAAAACAATTCTTTTTTAACACATTTGCAGAAGGTTTGGAAGGCACCAAAGTCTATTAAATTTTGGTTGCAGGGGTTACAGTTTCAATTTTCTGTGACTGTCACAAGTTCCTTTTTGTGTACTACTGTAGGGCTTCATCTCTCAAGACCATTATAAACAGTAAGCTGTATAATAGGCTTTTCTGATAAAGGATGCAAAACAGCTAATACCCAATATCAAGGGCTGGACAATTGGACCTCAAACCAACCCAGCAATGAAAATGGTTTCAAGGACAAGTTATTTTTGATATCAAGACATGCCTCAACAATGATTGATTTTCTTTGAATCACCATTGAAACAGGCTTTAGCACAAGGTATGAGAGGTCTAATTTTCTAACTGATAGAAAAAAACTAAGCATGATAGTTCAATTACAGATATTACAGAGGAAATTTTGGTCAAGAACAAAGATAAAAGATTAACTTTTGAATACCTTGATCCTGTGGGGTTTCTGGTAAGAGGATGTGGTTCCATTTTAATTTGATGATGCCACCCGTTGAAGCTACCTGCTACCTCAACATTTTCCCCACTCACCAAATACTCAATTTGAACCTAGTGCAAGTCAAAGAACTTAAATCTCACGAAATGCTTTGCATGTGCAGGCACACATGTTTGTAATTCTGTGCATATGCATATACATCTATGTGTGTGTGTGTGTGTGTGTGTGTATCAGTGTGCATATACAGAGAAGAGAAGAGAAGAGAGTAGGTACCTCCTTCAGTCCAGACAGGCTTTCTTCAGCAGCTTGTAATTCTGCATCTTTTTCAGAAATAAGTTTTTGAGCTTTGTTGATCTCTGATTCTGCCTCGGTTTGCAAAATGGACAAGGCATGCTGAAATCCAGGAATGAGAAAGAAATCAAAGGCAAATGGAAAGTTGTTTTCTATGCACTACACGCACCATACATCAGCCTCCACTTCTCCTACATCATCTCAGTCCAATATGTGGTGATTTTTCTTCTCTAAAACTCACATCCCTACCTTTAGTTCAACCTTCTTCCCCTAGAATCTACAACCTTTGGATTTTCTTGACAATTACAACAATGACAAAATCAAGAAAGAATAAATCTGAAGCTTTCAATTGAACTAATTTTGTAAATAAGACCACCAAGCCAACTTCTTATCATTTTTGCCACTAAAAAATAATTTAAATCAAAATGTATATTCATTTGAAATTATAGAATCACTTGCTAAAGAAATTATTTTTACAGCCATTCCTAATGATGCTTTATTTGTAAAATCTCTTTTGGTTCAATTTAATAAAATTTATTTAGATGCTTGTCAATATTTCCAAATCATCCAAGTGAAAAATAAGAACAAATACAGGAAAAGAATGAAAAAAAACAAAAAAAAACTTTATTTTTCTTTATCCAAAGGGATAATGAAATCGGGACAAGTTGTATGAAAAGAATATCATGTATCACCAAACATTTTGGTCTACATACACTGATGTAACTGATTTCTTTAGTAATGATTAAATTTGCAATCCAGCATGCTCATGGAAACAAGTTACGGTTGCTATCAAATGCTGTCAAAATCTTACAATTCATGATTTGAGTCATGAATCCCAAGGGTTTCGACTTGAATCTTATGTCTGAATCCTTTTCTGCAAAAATCTAATGATTTTTGTTTGAATCTTAAAATTTAGCTCATAGATCTTATGATTTATATGATTTATGCGATTGGCTATGATTCAAATAAAGTCAATTAAGAATTAGTTCTCTACTTTGTCATTCCTTTTTTGCTTATACTTAGTTTTGTCACGGGAGACTTGTTTTAAATCCCTTATTAGAAAATGATTTATTTACATTATTTAGAACCAAACATTAAGTTTATTTTCCATAATATGTGGCTTCTATTTTACAAGAGATAAATTCGTATATATACTTAGGTACATATATTGTAGATACAGATCAGAAAAAGGGTAAAATTAATTTCCTATATATATTTAGCTTTTTAGTATATCTATATTTAATTTTGACTAGTTTGTAAAGAAATAGAAATAATATTATTTGCGATGCAATTTACAATTCGATTGATTCGAATTCAACTTTCTCTATGATTTACGATACGATTACAATTAAAAAAAAACACTGCCAATTAAAGAGTGGAAGGATAAACGATTCTACATCCTCATTAAGAACTGCAAATACTTTTTGAAAATATCCATATATCTAAATTTCAAGAAAGAGAATTTAAACAAGAAATGATATGCCTCATGAGTGCATTGTGCATGGTGAACCCTCCTTTGCTATTGACACAACACCTTACACAATCCCTTGATAGATACTAAATGCACACTGATGTTGATATGGGAAAACAAAGGCAGCATATATTGGAGAGAGTAGGTTAGCATGTTTTAAAGTGTGGATTTATGGAGACAAAAGTAATCCTATAATAAAACGTTCCGCAATAACAATAGCTCAGATACCTTTTCCTTCTCAATTTGCTCCCTCAATTGAGATAATTCCAACTCCTTCTGGTGCTAAGAACATAAAATTATAAAACCAGAAGTTTAACATGGTTAGTACAAATGGCATGTCTGCACATAGGGTCAGTAATACTTGAATATTTCATACCAGTAATACTTTTAGACGGTTAATTTCAACTTGGTTCTCCATTTCACTGGCCTATAGTTCAGAATAACACAACGTTTAGATGCATGAATGTCAAAGTTAACAGCCATCAGCAACATGCTTGCTATTCTATCTATTTATAGTAATAGTTATAACCTCAAAGTCCTCAGCATCCATATCCTCATTAAAAGCAGCAACTTGTACTCCTTGAGCTTGTGAAAAGTCATTCCTACAACCAAAATCATGTATTCTTAGGTAAAATGATAAATCCAACCCAATATGCATAATTCAATAACACAACACATGTCAAGAAGCAAACTAAAACATATATGGAGTACAAAACAAATGAGACGATAAAAAGGGGAAAAAGAAAAAGAAGTGTAATTTTTTTTTTTTGAGGGGCTACACAACTGGGGGGCGGGGGGGGGTAGCTCATCCCCCATATACTTAACCCCCCAACTCTGGTGGCAGCACGGTTTGATCCCGAGTCTCCACTACCTTGATTATGAACAATTTAATATGTGGATGTATCATGCATAGCATTTAATACTAGTATTTTATGCTCAAGAAAAGCAGAAAATGACAAACCAATTGTTTCTTCATAGTAACATTTTTGTTGTGGTTGATGAGCCCAAAAAAAAAAAAGAATAAAGAGAAAAAATTATGTAAATATGCTTTGGTTTGATTTTGTAGTAGGATCCCAAATAGTTGTCTTGGGTAGCTTGGGTGCACCACTATTGGTTTTGGTCCCTTGGGTGTTTTTATAACTAAAGTTATCTTTTTGGGGGAGTTGTTTGAAGTTATTTTTGTTCTTAAGGGGCTGTTTGTGAAAGGTGAACATTCTAGGGGTGGCACGGCCCGATTTACACCTCTATCACCATTATACAGGCTGCATGGGAAATAAGGTATTTACGTCATTAGGACTTCAAGCCAAAAAGAAATAAAGAGCTATTGCAATGTTTTCTCTTGGCTTTATCCTTTTGATTCTAAGATTGAATATTGAGCCATTTTATGGCTCTTATCTTTATAGTAAAAAAAAAAATCATTGAGGAAAAATGGGAGCCATAGAAAAGTTTGCAGATGACCTAATGATCTTTTGTGAAGGAGGTTTTAGCGAAAAGGTAGCAAACCTAAAGGATCTAATCAAAGGATTTGAAAGTATTTCTAATTTGAGAATAAATTTGGAAAAGAGCTGCATAGCGGGTATAAATTTGGAGGTAGGGGAGGTC